CTCTATTCATGGCAGAGAAAGAGTAGACTTAGGAGTAGGAGGAGAGGTAGGAGGGGGGGGTGGAAAAGGCAAACGATAGAGTGAGCCCCCTCCCGTCAAGCTATATATTCTCACTTCCAGCAGCACCACCTCTTGTCCACTCTCTCCAAACTCATCCTCAACGCATCGAAACCAAGGTGTCGGGTTTGTGATTCAGAGAAAAAAAGGTTTGCAAAGTGTCATTCGTTTCATAGAGGTAAATACTACTCCCGGTTTATTTATTTTCTTTTTTACTACACCCCCCAAGAAAAAAAAAGATGGAGCACAGAGCAAGGCTTTCCTCTCTCGATTGATCGAATTTGCAACTTGATTGACTGACTTATTGTTTCCTCTAACCTAACAGCAAGTCTATCGCATCCTCTGTCCAATTCTAGCAACAGCACCAGCAGTGGCACTAGCAGTGGCAGCAGTGCACTGCAGCACACACTTTAGCAAATCCCTGCCGTCCTGTCTTGCACTGTCTTGTCTTCGCTTGCCGTTTACATAAAAACGTCCGATTCCACTTATTCCTACATATCTTAAACGGCCCAGCCAAGTACAGTACACCAGCAAGATGCCATCAATCAAGCCAAATCCTTGCCTACCCTGCTCTGCTGACGACTTTACGCAAATCACCGTGGCTACCGCAAAGTGCGATCTCTGTAACAAAAGAGACAAGAGGACTATGAAGCGTTGCAACACCTGTTCGTTCCAGCTGTGCGGGGGGTGTACTATCAAGAGCGGGAATGAAGGAGCTCACTGATAGAAACTACGATGACGGCAGCTCGTCGAAATGATTACAGGGTAAAAATCAAAATCAAAAAACACAACGGAATATTAGACAGTGCTGGAAGGGGAGCAAGGGGGACTGGTAGTAGGACTGGCACGGAAGTTCTAGCCCATGAAAGGATGTGTGGGGCTTGAGATTACCAAATTTGTTGGTAAGAGGGGGATGGTCTAGACCTTGTGGAATCCGGTTGGGTGGAGTCCCACGCTGATTGTTGCAATTACTGTTCTTACAATTACCCATTCTGTTTCTCCCTGGGTTGTTTTCATTTTCATTTTCATTCCCCCCCTTGCTCTTTCCCTAACCTTGCTTTAGTTTCTTTCCCTTTCCCTACTCACATTTTCCACTTCGGGACAATCTTGTTACTGCTACTCAATTAATAAGGGGTATCAAACTAGTTCTACCAAATGAAAATCAAACTGGAATCTCTGTTAGTAGGTTCGGAAAAGGAAAAGGGGAAAGGGAAAAAGACCTCCTGTTTTGGGGTGTACGTACAGTGTGTTGAGAGCAGGAGAGAACTGAAAATTTTAGTCATTCTAGAAACTCGAAAAAAAAAAACACTCATCCCCCTGCCATCCCCACCACAAGAATATTCTAGAGACCATAAATACGAGAAGCCCTTTTAAAGATAAAAAAATACTCCACATTTATCTTGTCTCCTAGAGGGGGTATTTTTTTTTTCACTCCAGAGGTAGTAAGTAGGTGTGTTGGTCAGTGTACACCGCACGAACGGGTGGATTGGGATGAACCGTGACGGTTCCTCAGTTTGTTGGACTCTCGTTTACTCGTACTCGCCCTATCCGACCTGTTAACTTGAGGAGGAAGGGGGAACAAGGGATATGTTCTGAGGCGTAGATTCGTATCTCCACAGCGCTGGACTGCAGGCAAGTACGGTGTATCGCGGAATTGGATGGGCTGTTTTGAAGGTACTGGGAGGTTTGGTGGGAGTCCGGGTGACAATATGGTGATGTTACTGGTTGTGATCGGTAGATAAATGTTTGAGGGAAGGAAACTATTTTTAGGCGTATTTTTCGGGAAAAAAACAATAAACAAGGTGGGAGAGGAGAAAAACGTTATCAGTTTTTTTGTTCCACTCTGAATGTGTGAGCCGGGTCTGTTGTTACTTATGAGTGAAGGTGAAATGGTGTTTGCTGAACAAAAATAAGCTTGCAAGTATGAGTTGTGCTTGTAGATAGACAGTGGCCGTTTTTGTGTAGGTAAAGTGCTAGGTGGAATGGCCGAGAATGGCCAATACGCTGAGGAGTATCATATAACTTTCGGAGCAATAATGGCGGTCGAAGTTCTAGTCGTTATAGGAGTCCCCGAGGATGGCCAGCTTGCCTCAGTCAAGAAGTACCCAAAAACAGGAGTTCAAGTAATAAGTGGTAGGAGAAATCTGCGTTTTTCCCAGAGCTCATACGAAGCATGCCCCTCCTTTTTTTGGGGCACTTCTTTCTTCTAAGGAGTTCTGTGGATTGTAGCTGTTGAGGTGGTAGAAGTATTATTCAATATGATAATACACCTCAATATTGTACACCGATAGCTTAATACTATGATACAAAGGTAATATTAAAGACGAGAAAAGGCAAGTCAATTCAAAGCAGGTGTTGGGCTGTAGTTGTAATTAGTTACTGCCAGCACCTGTAATTGATAGGATATGCAGGTTTTCTTTACTTGGAATATCCAACGCACTGTTCCCAATTGTACAGCGGGGGGCAAAAATACGTTCACATTTTTTAGGTGTTTGGACTTACTAAAAATGTGAACGTATTTTTGCCCCTCGCTGTAAGCTAGGATAGCATATTTGTGGGAAGGATAGGCATAATACGGTGGTTTTGCTACCGACCTAGGGGCCATTTAATTCTCTTGACATTTTGTCTTTGGAGAGCGGAGTGTGGTGATAGGTTGTAGGTTATGGAATAGATTTAGCGTTTGAAATCCGTGTTTCATAGATATGTAATTTTTTTAGCGGAGTAGGGGGATTGACGCTGACCCGTAGTTCGAGCGTTGGAGCTTAAGAACAGGAGATACCCAGCACCTGTTGATGGTCTGTACCGGCCTTGTACGGATATAGTACAGAGTGATGGCACCGCATATCGGGATCAGTAAATCGCACCGGCTACGGTTTTTCGACAAAGTTCAGCATTCCTATCACCCGGTGTATCCCAAACCAAGTCGGAAACATCCACCGGGCAGAGAAGACGTCGCCAGAAAAAGTAAACTCATGGCAGATGACCCCTCCCATCCTTCTCGGTGGCCAGAACCACCAAGAATATCCTACAGCGGGCTCTTTCTCGTCGATAGATCCCCCCGGCGGAGACACGCTTTTTGCCCAACGACTGGAGATTGAATAGAGGGAGCTCGGATGTAAGACAAATGGGGGGGAGCCAACGACCCAACGGGGGATGTAGAAGAGGTCGTCCTAGATGCAAATGCAGTGATTTACGCAGGCTCGAGCGGTGTCAGGAGAGACGATAAGGGGGGAGAGAAATCAAGGATGGAAAAAGGCGATGGTGGAGAGAAGAGTTCGGACGACGAATCCCGCACCCCAGACGTTCCACAGACGCCCTTGCCCCCCCCCAAATTCTCTAGTTGCTAGTGCCAGATATATTCTTGCGCAGCTGCTCGTCCCCTACCAGCTTAGCAGCGCCATAGTATTATATCATAGAATGTCCCGCGTGATGCTAGATCAGCACATGTCCTACCCCATCTCCCCCTCTTTGGGGGCCGACTTCTCATTCCATATCCCATAAAACTAGTCGGAGGCTTGGTCAGCCCTAAGTAAAGCCAAACAGGGATGCAATAAAAATTTAATTAAAAAATACGCAAACGATCAAGAACCCAATAAACCCCACCATCCCATAACTTAGCACCAAGAAGGGATAGATGTATCTAGGGACGCACTATGGCCACCACCCACGCGGTGGCCACAAAACGCGAATTATCTGTCATACGCACCTCGCTCACGCAAAATACCCCCCCAGTTCACTTCCAACCCATCACTCTAAGCCTTACCCTCAAGAACCTCCTCGATCACATCGTATCACTCGCCTTGCGAATCCCAAAACCCTAACCCCGCAGTACCAGGAAGCAACCCCACTGACTAGCTGGCACTGTCAGGTGTATAGTATCATACTGTAAAGAGGGTGAATCCCATTTTTCGGTGGATTGATGGGGCATAAATAGATGAATCACTGTAATCACAGCCTAAGTACCACATGATAGCCATGGCAAGAGATTACACCTTGGAGGAAAGGAAGGGGCAATAAAAACCGGAGGTGTGACAGCATATTATTAGCAATATGCCCACCAACAGATGCACCAACGTCGAAGTTAAGTACCAGCGAGTTCTTAGGTCGATCGTCCAGAGTAGACTCAACCCCAAAATGCCTAAATCCCTCCCAGTTCTAGAAATGAGAACGACCGAGCTACAGCCTAAGCACAGCACGAAGAGGTCCTGTTGACGTGTGGGGTTGGGCGGCCCGGCCCCGAGGACGGAGATTGCGAGGGAGGTTATGTGTGCTTCATGGGTGCTCTGCCCGGAAAGCTTTCCAAAATGGGTGTACAGCTTAACCGCCGTTTCAGTTAGGAACACAAGCTGGCCCTTAACTTTGATCGCCCTGGAGCCTAGTCACTTGCAAATTTGTGAATAAGAACCTGGAGCCTGAGGGTTCGTCACAATTTTTTTACCGGTATGCACTGTACTACCGGTAGTCCTGCGCTCGAGTACCGACAGTGCTAGTAGATTATTTCGGAGGGTCTGTGCAGCGAGTGGGGGAGTAATCCTGTGGTTGGCTAGGAAGACTCGAACAAAATGTCGGATTGGTAGATGAGCGAGAACAGCACGTGATGACCCAACTTTTCGGCTATCATACCAAATTTGGTGGCCATTTTTGTTGCGGCGCCTTGCTTAAACGGGCGCCCGGGGTCGAGCACTACATACAGTGCTCGAGTACCGGTACTGATTGTGCCAAACTCCCCAGGATCTTGTCCACAGATTTACAGGGAACTGGATTTCGGGGCCGGATACATTGTACCAATGATTGGGTCGGACGGGAGAGCGTAAGAAGGAAAATGTAGTACTATATATAGTTGCTTGACTAAAAGCTTTAAACATCACGAACGGCTCTCCGTCGGACATCACAACCTGCGGTTAAAATTGCTAAACGCACCAAACCATTGAAAACCACAAGGATAAAAGGATTGGAACTTAATCCACTAAGTCTAGTCTACACACCAAGAAACCCCAGCATTCAAACTACCCCCAGCAAACAAGCTCCAAGATCACAAAGAATAAAGTTAGCTAATAAAAAGCGCCCCTCCGCCTGTCTCGATCCAATCCGATGCAACACCACCATGTCTCTGAGTTTTCGTTTATCATAATCTCAGCCTAATGCGCCTGTCCTTAGGGAAAGGGAGGGAAATAGAAAGATAACCACTGCGAGAGGGCGAAAAAAGACAAGAAAAGTAGAGCCTAGAGTAACCTAAATGTCGGCGTGAGGTTAGCAGATGTGATCGGAGGATATGGAGGGCCATGTTTCGGGATAGTATTGCTCACGTTGTGGAAATTTGTTGGGTTTTATTGGGGGTTGTGTCGGCGTCTTGGACGCAAGCACTTTTTTGGAATAGACCACTCTCGGGTCCATAAGTAGTGGAGTCATTGCTCCCAAGGTCACCTAAGCGGCTGGCAGATTGAGGAACCGCATCACAAGCGGATAGAGCCGGAAGCCCTACCGAGGAGCCAAGACGCTGGTAGCCTTGAAGAGAATGTTTGCCCTGGGATGGGGATCCGGCTTTAAGACCGGTCCCAGTGTAAGAATTATGGCGCCCAAACACCTTTAGATTCCCGCCTTGAAAGATGATAAAACGTGGGACTCTTCTGAGATGTCGGTGCTTACGACCAGTATGAATAACTTTATGGTCGTCTATGGAGTCTTGATCGGGGCCTTCGTCGGAGTCCTCAAGAAGCGTGGATAGTGCCATTGGGGTATCCCCAAGGGGATTAACGAAATAATTTTGAGCTTGGGCCACTCTAGATCCCAACCCCTCGACAATCTTTGAAACCATGGGCATGTCGATACCAAAAGTAGTACCGCTCAGATTCTGGTTCCCATCTTTGCTCAACGCAACCTTGGCGGTGCCGGTCTCTGAGGACACAGATGTAATAACCTCCGGAGAGGACCCCTTTGGGGATTTTGGAAGGTCACTATCACTTCCAAGGGAAGTTTGGGTCGTACTAAGGGAGTTCCTACTCAGTACGGAAGGCGAATCCGAATTTACCGAAGGTGATTCGTTGTCGGATAATTCGTAGATCGTTTGCTTCGAAAGACTTGCTTGCAAACCCTCAGAAAGACGTCGGTTTCCTTCATATTGGCCTTCACTACTGGAATAGCTAGGGGGGCTATTGGCATTGGCAGAGCTTCTACTACCTCCCAGGCCGCGCGCCGAATTGTTTGAGTGCCCGCCAGCACTAGCTCCACCGGCGAAATTAGATCCTGAACCACCACCGGGTGGCCGAGGGTTGTTACGGCCAGGACCATTTGGGCCTGGCCCAGAATCTTTCGGACCGGCTGAACCGTCCGAAACAGGGTCGTCAGACTCGGATTTGGATTCGGATTCGTCACCTCCGTCCTCCGCCCGAGGAGGGTTTGGTTCGAGGGACCCATACAACTCTGTCTGGCCTTTGCCGAGCAGATGGTTGGCATACACTTGAAGTCCAAGCACGGAAGCGTAGTCATCGGCTTTGCAATAGGCATCCTTTAGTCCATCAAGGCTAGTGTTTGTAAGCCCCACGGCTATACGAGCTAAAAAATCTGTCTCTAAGTTGCGAAGGGCATCGCTGTGCCTTTTCGCAAACGACATCACAGGATCGCCGTCAGATGTAGGCAATGTTTCGAACCTCTGATCACCAGTGCTGGCCTCACGCAGAGTTTGGCTTATCTGAACGTTCGCTTCTCCCCAACGAGGACTAAAGACCCCGGGGTACGTAGCGGGGCTCTCGAGTGGATGAGGTATCTGCCCATGGGTGAGACCCGACACCGGACAGGCTCCGCGTGGGACGTAGGTGCATCCACGTCTCCACGCAGATTGCGGCCTGGATCGTGCATGCTTACGATAGTCTGAATTTCGGTGCGCGCCCTCTGGCGCCTCGCTTCTAGCGTGTCCTGAATCTGCTGGAAAGCGAAAATCGGCTACCATCTCGGCCCTCCTCAACATTTTGTCATAATCTCCGATGACTTTATGGTCACCAACATCGGAGGAATAGTGTTCGAAGAAACCTGCAACTTGATGATTCAACTGCTGGTAGTCCTTGAGAAGAGTCTGGTGAACTGCCATTTGCATGGAAGACATGTCACTCCAGAACTTGGATGCATGCGTGTAGCATCTAAAACGTGCATTGTCCTCGATTTGATCGGTACTCAGAGTTGGATCAGCTCTCATGCGCGCCTGGAAAACCCGGCCGTACTCTATCATCGCCTCAGACAATTCATTGCTACTCTCCGACATGAGATAAGCCAGTAGGGTCATTTGATGCATGGCAAGCAGCATCTTTTGCTGGGCATTGATGGAGCTATATCGTAGAGCAAGTCAGATTTTAAACCCACGTTAACAAAGCGAGGGCCAGAAAGAAATAAAAAAGTGGTCACATACGCCTCAACCTCTTCATCGAGCAAAGGTCTATCGTGAGGCTTATCTTTCTCAACCTCTTGGTCTGATTTGGTGTTTTCGCAAGGACACGGGGGGGGTGGCGGAGTGGAGACCGCGGGGGGTGGAGTGGAAGCCAAGGGAAGTGGAGCTGGGACAAGAGGAGGCGGGGAATGAGGTCTAGGCTTAGCCTTCGGCCTAAATAGGCCACGGACCCCTCTTGCTGTGTGGCCAGCTGAGTTTTCCCCCATAATTGGATAAAAGAAGGTGTATAGAATGGTGTTGGAAACGAACTCAAGGTGGATGTTGAGAGGAGAAAAGGGAGGGGTCCGGTTGGTTTCTTCCGGTCAAGTATGTAGGGAGAGAAAGACTGGGGCGAGTGTTTTCTGTAAGGGTTATTCATTTCGTAGAGAGCCTGCTGGGATAGTGGCATCGGGGCGGGGCTGCCTCCAAAACCCGTGAATTCTTGCAAGTAATGTCGATGTGACGGACGCAGCCAGCCCTCCTTTAGTGTGATACGCCCAAGCTTTCAACCAACTATGACCGCTACCACTTTTCCCGGCGGTTCGCGTGCGTACCTTGCAAGCAGATCAAGACAACCACTGGATCAACCGGGGAGTCGTCCCCCACTCGAGAACCTCAGGCTACTCGAGTACTCGCACGGCCGAGTTGAAGTCACGCACCAAAGCTAGTAACAATTGCCGGGTCAATTGAAACCGGGATGATATGCGCTGAATCCAGTAGTCCATACAGTGATGTAAGATCCGTAATTGAAGGAGCTAACCGCCATTCAACTAACTCCAGGATAGCCATATCGACTCCTACCCTGGCTGTCCTGTAACATGAGGCTTATAAGGGATAGGCGACTCATAGATTCAGCGGCGAAGAAACATTACGAAAGCCTCATGGGCACGCAATGTGCTGATTCACGAGAACTCAGGCAGGGACGCGGGTAATTGAACAACTATGGATTCTGAAGGCCTGACGATTCTACCCTCTCCATAGGAAATAGAAGGATGGGTTTGGTATGGAAATTGCTCAAACAAGCAAGAAGCTTTGGCACCTCAAACCCCTGGCCGGCGGCGGTATACGAGTATACTAGATTCAGTGCCGTATGTCATCCATAGAGCCATGCTAGTCCCTACCGGTACTGATCGTTAGTCTACGGGCTTTGGGAGCACGACTTCGACTCGGCCATGCAAGTACTTGAGCAGCCGACGGTGAGTCGGAAGTAAGCTGAAAGCAACAATTGTTCCTGAGTCGGCAGCGGCTTCTAGCCGAAGCATCCTACCCTTCTGTTCTGAATTAGATCGTGTTCGGTAGCACTAAAGAAAACAAAGTACCCAAAACAAGGGATTAGTGACTTACCCGCTGCTCGAGATGGGTGGCGAGGTTGGTGTACTGTACTCGAGTAGAGAGTATGCCGTTGAGGATGAGAACAAAAGGTCGACCCGTGGAGGCGGATTAAACTATAGGCGATTGTTCCGATCCCTTGGCAGTGCCTATCAATACTAGCACGGTGCAATCAGGATCACGCGTGTGCGGGCAGGGTTCTACATACGGGTACGGCCGATGGATAACGTATCATATATTAGTCACGTGCCTTATCTAGGCACACTAGAACGGGCAAGTTTTTCCATCATATCAGAAACACGTGACTAATTTATCAATAGGCCGCGCTAATAGTACTTATAATACTTGTACTGTAGAAGGAAAGGTACGCCAAGGCGGTTAACAGAGCCCGCACAGGTTGAGCGGGAGTGAATTGCCCTTAAAGCCGAGTGAACTCCCAATCAGCACCAAAGCCGTAAATTTACTGGTAATCTATGTATCTCTAATCACCACAGAATACACCGGCTGCTGTCGTTCGCTTCCTCATACAGGGCGTTATTTTTAAGTTTGGGTGAGGTTGCTGTTACGGTCGGGGGGGTTATAGGGGACAATCTACGGTACTCTAGGCTCACTGTTTTGTCAAGCTCTCTTGACAAACAAGCAAATTACGGGTAGGGGTCTGGAATCGTGTCGGTATCGTATGTTGAGAGGGTAGGTAATATACGATACTCAAGTACCGGTACGCAGATGGTGAATTCTCAGAAGTCAGCCAGACGTGTTGAATTAACCAAATCAAGTGGCGTTGGCAGGTATTTATCAGTACTCGAGCACTGGTATCATACACCATCTGCGTACCTACCATCCTGCCTCCCGACATAATTCTGCGATACCCTATTCCCAAGATTCACACCGAGCTGTGGTACGAGTACTACTGGTGGAGTGACACTTAGGCAAGCCTCGGCATAGATAGCTAACTTGAAGCATACAATATGGTATTGTCTTGTTTAATTTTGGCTTTTCCTCTATTTCCCACTGTACTGATTACAACGATAGAACAAAGCTATGGGTAAATCTTACATCCATTTGTTTGACATCAACGAAAGGAGCCTTAACGAAGTGAATGGTGCGCCCAATGCTCAGGGGTAGGATGGAGGGGCTGCTGCATGGGTCACAGATTCGTGTTAAATTCGAATTGCAAGGGTTTCTTATTTAGTGAGCACTCGGAGTAATCGGGCACGTATGAGATTCTAGGACACTGGATGACTTCCCGTGGTGTCCTTGGAGCACGCTCTCCACGCTTCGCTAGGCTGTAGTCTAGATTACACGGTATCCCCACACTAGAGGACTGCCGTTGAAAACTTGAGTGATACTGGTAGGCGATGGTGCTGCTACTCGTATCGTATCCAGGTGAACAATTGGCACTGGTAGCATCTGAGGCTGCTGCTGCTGGCACCTTGCCAAAAACTTGCGTCTTGCCAAGACCAGTGATGCTTGGCTCTCTCGCTCACTTTACAGGTATTCCTCTGGATATTCCTCTGTTCCCCTGCCTTCGAGTCCACTCTCCGCCACATTAAACCACCCAATGAATCGCTCACCAGCAAGTCGCTTCTTCCGAAAACCCCACGAAATCCTCGCATCATCCTCCATTCCCTCCACCACACCCTTCTCCCACTCCCGAGCCCGGAACCGAAGCAGCGGCGGGAGCTCTGTATCCTCACACCAAGGCCAACCAAACCTCCTCGTGGAATCCTCCTCTTCCTCAGACGAAGATGGACCTCCAAACGCGGCATCCTGGCGCCCTCGGTCCAAGTCACAGAACCGGAGCGTGTCTCCTCCTTGGAATGTGTTGAGTCCTCATTCTATACCCTTACTGCCGATGCGCAGCGGAGCTTCTGGTCAGGGTACGGGTGGTGGGGGGAATTTAATGAGTAGGACGCCGAGCCCATTCCCGCGGAATAGCGGAGATTTGGATACGCTAGGAAGTGGGGGTGGTGGTGCTGGCTGTCACGAATGGAGGATTGGGAAAGGGAGTGAGTCGGAGAGTCGTGGGTTTGCAAAGTGGACACGAAATGGTAGGCTTGGGTGGTGGCTGTGGAATACACAGAGGGGATGGGTGATGTACATTGGGCTCCTGGTGACGTTTTACGAAGGGGCTGCATTCACACTTTCAAAGGTTAATGGGTTTACGCTTCTTAGTGAGTCCCTTTCGCATTTGGTACTCCGAAGGAAGTAATACCTTGCTGACTATTCATCTATAGCTGGCGTTTATAAGTATTTAGAAACGTCCCTCAAGACTGAGTTGGAGCTGATATCTTTTTAGATTTGTCTACCCGATTACCACAACTCTCTTCCAACTAATAATGACACAAATATTCCTTTATTTTGCCGCTTCAGTAACTCGCTCGTTCTCTCGCTCATTACACACACTCGGACTAGGCAGCATGGTAGCCCCGCTGCCCACTCCCTCAAAAGGCAAGCGGCGGGCATCGGGGGGCGGCCTCCGAGACTTTGCAAAGCAATTGGCTACCGGGAGCCGTGAGGGGTGTGTCTTTGAGCTTAAATGGACGGAAGCCAAAAAGGTCGTTCCCGTCGCCCTTATCTATAGCTTAAAAATTGTCCTTAGCAACATCGGCTTTGCGTATGCTTACCAGAACCAATGAGATTATACGGAATACTAACTAGTGATAGCTACACAAACCCACCAATCTACCACCTCTCCCGCGTCGGCTCCCTCCTTCTAGCAATGGCCTTCACCCACCTCTTCACAACCAACTCCCTCTCCGTAACCACTATGTCCTCCTGCATAACCATGGTCCTCTCCCTAGCAATGGCGGTCCTCCGCCCTGGCACTCGCTTCGCAATCGAGGGCTTCCTTGCCGGGCTCTTCTCAACAATATTCGTAGCTGCATACCCAATTCTCCTCACGAAGGCATACAAATCCGTTCTCCGCGGGAACCCCAATACCATTGGCTCGGGCGACCTCTTGGGCGTAGGCCCAACAGACGGGATGCTCTCCACCGACGGAGGAGAGGAGACGAGATCCGCATGGAAGTTACTGCATTACGTAAACGTGCTCAGCATCACCATGATCCTGCCCTGGATATTTCTCAGTGGAGAATTTGGCGACATTAGTCGCAACTGTTACATCCTTGACCTTCCCTGGTTCTGGCTGATGGGATTATTCAGCGGCCTGGGAGCGTGGGCTACGTTTGTTAGTGGATTTTTGTTGCTTAGAGTACATCCTCCCTCTCCCCCTGTACTAGCTAGCGGCTCACAGATAGATAGGCAACAACACCACTAACAATGGTAGCTTCAACTTACCCTAGAACAGCCTTTCAAGCCCTCCTCATGCACGGCTCCGCGCCAACATGGAGCTGGGTTGGTGTGCTCATGTGCTGGGGGAGTTCAGTCTGGTACCTCCTCGGACGCAGGAAGGAATGCGGCGTTAGCTTCTTTCACGCAAAGGATGGCAGGGGCCTATTTGGCGCAGATCCTGCTCAGCGTCTAGAGGAAGCTTGAAATCCCGTACCTCGGATACGGTGGTGGTTTAAGTGTTGGTTGTTTTTGTGCTTTTTTCTGGTTTGCACGGCAGTTTTTTGCTATCGATGATGGGTGGAGGTGATACCTGTATGATATATAATTCTTGCGATTTGTACGTTGGTGTTGGAGTAGTTGGCGGTTAGACTCAAGTAATGTGATGCTTGAATTGTGATAGACAGGATGAGGTTTACATGTTCATCGACGCTCACTCGTTTGTGGAATCGGGATTACAATCTCTCCCTTCGTGGCCAGCACCCTGCACAGCAAGTAGTGGCTTAAAAAATGCTTTGAACCGCAGTTTAAAGCCACACGACCACCAAGGGCGAGTCAATATACGGCGGGGGCTCGTTGTACGGGAGCTCGATGCGTGGGGGCACTGTGCGGGTTGCGGGGTAGAGGTTGGTAGAGAGGGCGAAGGGCCAAGAACGAAGGGGAGCTCATGCACTAAAATTGATTCTTAAATTGTACAGAAGCGGACTTACGCATCGACTAAAGTCTGAGGGTTGTCCATAAATTTCAAGGTTGTGCAAGGGTCGCTCTTGGTGTACAAGGTCTCTAGTAAACTGCACAGTACTAAATGGATATAGGATGTATCTAATGGGACTACCTACGGGATATTTGCAAAACTAGGACCGACAAGACGGGACGCCGTGGTAAACACAGCATGTGCAGGGAGTTTGTGCCAGATCCCAGGGATGCCTCCCATCCTATGAGGTTATAGGAGTTTCTTATAAATATTATGCCCTCAATCTTTCCTAAACTTCACCTTCGCCCTTAATATCTTTACCGCCGCCTGGTCCCCTTTCTCGACTGCCAACCTCGATGCACTCACCCCTTCCCCATTCCTACAATTACCATCCACCACCCCCGCCGCTAACTGCAGTCACGCCCTTAGCACCTCCACCTCTATGTTCGCTCAACTGTTACATGCACCGACGTACTCCGGCATCCCCGACACGGGGATCCCACAAGCACCCTCTCACTCTCACCAGCGAGCAAAGAGTGGCATGTATAATCCCTCAGGTAGGGTTTTGGCCGAATTCCCAGCTGCGTCATTGTGACATCGGATTTGCCCTCCTGAAGGGGGTGGTTGGTCATGTCTTTGTTGTCCTAGGTCATTGCAAAGAGAGGTGGGACTAGGCTCGTGCTGACTTTCTGATTGAGGTTGATTTTGTGTCCTGGTATTGGCTTAGCTGGCTGTTAGCCTCCTCGCGATGCTGTGGGACTTATCCACCCTTGTCCGTGAGGCTCAAGTTTGTGCGGGTGCAGGGGTGTATTGCCCTCGCTATCTATTGGATTCCCATCTACTCTTTCGTCTTCTGGTGGAGGCGTAGTTCCCCCGCGCAACCCTTAGTCACAGCGAGGGAGAGGGGTTTTGATTTTTGTTCTAGCGCCGGTCAGGAGTCACTGGATTATGGTTGGGTATGAGTCTTTGACTGCCGGGCGGAGTACTGTGGAGGAGAGTTTTTCGAGGTTGTTGATGTCGACTGGCTTGTGTCTCTCTAGGAGGTTTATTTTATCCGTGAAATCCGCCCTTATGGCGACATGGGTCGGTGCGAGGCCGTTCTCGCAGCACCAGCTCGCTCCTCGACTGCTGGATTGGAGGGAAATTCGGTGAGGCACTGGATGCAATTTCCCGTTATTATGGAGGGATACAGCGGCGTGTGGCCGTCCTTGTTTGCTAGGTTCACCAGAACTCGCTCTCCTTCTAACAGAAGTTTCGCAGCCTCTCGTTGCCGGGCGAGGGTAGCGTGTAGAGATGGTGTTGTATGATACTCTTCTACCGGTATGCCTACGATACTTATCGTACTCGTGCGTGCACCTCCATGGGCTTCCATACAAGCTGGGTCCGTTTCACAAACGTCACGCCATTACGAGTGTCATACCAGCGCAGACGTCCTCACACTTGCCTGATACGGCGCTTAACTATAATAAGCTTTACTGCATTCGGCTGCGATTGTCCCCGGTAACACGAGTGACAAATAATGACCACCCAAAACACCACCTTGCCCTAGCCACACGGGAGTGAGATCTGAGATACATGCCTGGTAACAACTTTCAACCAAAGGTGCGTAAAGCGCGGGGAGCCTTCCAAGGCGGAATCTCCTGCAGCTCCTTTGCCTACGTATGCCTTCTTCTCCAAAACCACTTATGATACTATGGTAGCTCGTGGATAAATTTACATGATATGACATCAGGGGCACAATCCCGGTAAGCGGATTATTAGCCTTGCCAAGCCCTTCGAGACCCAAAGTGGCGTGGGTTCCGTTTGTACTCGAGTACGAGTACGAAAGGCATAGTCTATCGTACTTCTTTCCCCGACTGGGTCTGGCATGGTATCGGTTCCTTGGAATTGTTACCCCGTCGCGGCGTTTGGATGCGATACCCGTGCTATCAGAGGTGGGGACGGACTTCGTCACGGATTCATTGGCGTTATGGAAAGAATTCTAGTCTTTGGGAGTCTTGGACCCACCGTGGAAAGGGGGCATGAAGAAGAAAAATGTCGATACAGAGAGCGAGCGTCTGGACACTGATTTTCCCGGTCGGATGGATGAATCCCTCCTTCGCATCCTATTATCATAGACATCGCCACCAGTTGGCTTGAGATGAGATGCACCTCGAGTCAGGGTGATCGCACCTCCCATTTTCGGGGATCCTTTGGCGCTCCAGGAAGCAGATTGCGACTGGTGAAAGCACCTGTCAAATATTTCACCGGAGGACGCCAGACCTGAAATAGGTTCAACATTACCGTACTGCACCCTGGTTACTCGTATAGGGTTGTCTGTTTTCGGTATCGCACCCGAGTAGGTTGGTGGCGGATGGAGGTTACACGTACGGTAGTCTAACTACGGTACTCGTATTTCCAAGTCTGCCTTACGTTTGGCTTATATAAGCCGTGTTTTGAGGGCGGGAGTGGAGTATCATGATATTATAAAGGATTTTGGAATTCCTTCCTTCGTTCCTCCCTTCCTCTGTGTATGATGAGCCCAATAGCGAACGATCAAGGATTGACATTTTGCACCGACATGTCCAATAACCATTAAAACCCTTTTCCCGCAGGCCTCGACAAGCAGGAGGAAAAGGATCCTTCCTCCTACCTACCTACCACGGACCAATGCATCATTCACCTAAAGCTCCTGGCATGCTTCCACAAACTCCGCTTGCAGATATCGGCGGTGGATAATTTATTTGGATACCCGGACATCGTCGTTACCAATGAAGAGACAAAGAAACGCCAAGCGGGTACCAAGGAAAAGCGATGGGAAGTATACGTTGTGAGGGCAGTGGAGAGGTTCACTCGGTGGTGGCATATACTTTACAATTCCAAGTTCGGGAGATTTGAGGAAGGGATAACGGGCCATAATGCTGTGCGGAAAGCCCAGGTGTTTGATGAGGTGTTGGATTCGAACATAGTGTTTGGTACTGACGCTATGCCGCCGCTGGGTATGCTTTTATCGTTTCCGTAGGAGACAGGACAATGTTGGCTGACTAACCTTTCCGGTGCCAGATGTGTTGATGGTATGGCACGCATTTATCCTGAATCCGAGATGTTTCTTGGAAGACTGTTATAGGGTCGGAAAGATTGATTTCTGGAGGGCGGGTTTGCCGTGGAGTGTTATCGTGGGTCTCTTATCTAGGACTCGGTTTTTCAACAACTAATGAAACAAAAACAGGACTCCTTAATTGACAATGGCTTTGATTATAACCTCCCAATCACCGCCATAAATAATTTTCAAACAAGCACCAACCTCAGCGTGGAAAACCTTGATTTCCCGGATAGCCTCCCAGTCAATTGTCCCATATGCTCGAACCTCGTTCCGATTCTCATAACCAATAGTAGGGACAGTACCGGCTACGCCGACTCCAAATTCTCCAAAACCTGTCCAAACGGAACTTGTCAGGCAGTCATAAACATCGACACCCTCTCTCGAGCAAAGTTCCTGCAAGCTCTCGACCGCTTAACGTCACCAGCGGGCACGCCACTTCCGGGAACAATTCTGGATAAGGACGGAAAACCTAATCCGGAAATAATGCTTCCCGATAAGAGCTGGATGTTCCCGAACCAATTCTGTATATTCCTTCAGAGCTCCCTACGAACATGCGGGTCGAATCCTCCAACGGCCGACCTCAATGATATAAAGGTAGAAATGAACCGCTCCCTGGAGAACCGCAAGTTCCTTAAATCCGGAATTGTACCATATCGCCACCTTGACCGTGATGGAAAAATATCGTTCAGGAGGATGATGTCCAGGTTCTGGAGCAACCCCTCTCCATTCTCCATTCACCTTGTCGGAGCGGTGATTCGGCAGGGCACGTTCGTAGAGAAAATGGCTGAGATTGACTGGCTCCACTCACCAGCAATCGTCGATACCATTGAGGCAGCTGTGAAGAAGTTTGAGAGATTCATGGACATGATCAAGAATCACCCCGGCCGTTGTGTTGTTCCGACCTTAAATGTGGACCTAGTGTGGCATACGCTCATGGGCAATCCCTCGATTTATTGGAAGTATAGTTTAGCTCTCACAGGAAAATTCGTCGGGCATGACGATAAGATTGATGAAGCAAAGCTCGGGGAGGCGTTCAAGTGGACCTGCGAGAAGTACGAAAAGCTATACAGAGAGCCTTATAGTGAATGTATGCCCCCTTTGTCCGATCCCAGCGTTCTACATAACCTAGCTGACATGACTAGGCACCTGCTGGTACTGCGAAGCTACCCGCTCCCTCTGCCAATCCACGATGAAACGCTACTTCTCCTCAAAGCCCCTCCCAATACCCGACGTTCCCGATCCAAGCACGCACATATCCGCCCACTCAGTAGTCCAAGTCCCAGACAAGCGCCAGAAGGCGCAGCGGAAAGCCTTCTACCAGGCTCTGATCTATGAGCACGAACGCAACAAGAGGAAACCGTGGAGTACCGAGAAACCCGGTTATTTCGACATGGGCCCGTTCGCAGAGATCCTCATTAAGGAACTTTTGAGGGATAATTACGCAGTTACTCCAGCATGCTTCAGTACTGGAAGTGGTGAAGCGGGGAATTGTGCTAGTGGGACATGTGGTGGGGCGGTTGCGGCCGGGGCATGTGGGAACTCGGATGGGGGTGGGGGGGGAGGGTGCGCCGGGGGAACCGGGGGCGGATGTGGAGGTGGAGGCGGTGGTAGTGGTGGGTGTGGTGGTGGTGGCGGTGGTGGTGGCGGTGGTGGGGGATGATAGGACTGTTTAGCCCAGCATCCCTAGGGAGGTTGTCGTGGACTGGGGGGAGTAATTGGAGTAATGGTTTAGCGCACCCAAAGTGGAGAGCCAGTAAAAATAAACTTCATAGTTTTTTATTACCACCCCCCCTTTAACTCAATTTGTGCTTACACACTGGGAAAACTTCCCAAGCCGCCACTGCCAACTTATCATAGAGTACATACCCTTTCCCGGAACAGCTGTGTGCGCAATAGCCAAGTCTCGCATAAGACATCTCACAAGTGAGCCACTGCCTGCGAGTACTTCAAATCAAGTTCATCTAGCCTCTTCTTTAACCCACCCGCCCCGTAAGGCGATCACATCCAATCACTCGCCACGGACTGGGGGTGGGACTGGGAATTTATCAAGAGGAATGGTAGATTTCGGGACAGAAATTAATTCTACTTACCTTCAACCCAGTCCCTTATGCGCCCAATGCGGGGATAGCTCTTGTCATCCGAGTGATCCAATTTACACCCGAAGACTCTCAAATAAGCCGGTGTGACTAAGAGAGGGGAAAGCTGCACTTCCTAAACAAAGGCCACTGACGGGTAAACGCTTCTGACAGACCACCAGCCGTGGCTCACAACAAAAACAGCATGGGACAAGGAAGCCAATCTTCTAATACCAAGTGACAAGGAGTCTACGGGCACCGATGGAAGCACAAAACAAAAGGGACTCTGAGTTCACGTGGAGAATGATATGGTACGATACGGTACAGACTGGAGACTTGTGATACGAGACGCCGTTGGCCAGGTCGGTGTAGAGGGCGAGGGGGGGGGTTACAAATGGAGCACAGAGGATGAAATGGAAATACAACTTGGGTTTTTGGGTAGGTGGTTAACCCCTTGGATTGAGAATAAGAATAACATGTATACAGCTTCACATTGAAGCTCTGGGAGCGCAGAAGCATGTAAGTGTTACCTTCGTTAAACCGTGACCAGGGTGGGAAACGGCTACTATGCTGTCCCCACCAGTAACTAGCTTTTACTCCGATGATCGCGAATGTTGGGAATACTCGTTCCATAATATACAACCAATCCTTAGGCCTCTTTACTTTAGGAAATGCAGATTTTTAGAAATCAGGTCCTATAATGAACACTATATGTTTTTCACAGCTAACACTGTACTTCTATTAGTAGAAGCATATCTCGTACCAATCTCGATATCCTTTGAATAGTTAAGAAAAACAACAGCTATTTATACCATCTCTACGGTAACTAAAAACAACATGTGAATGCTGCTATTTTGTCTAGAGACTATCCAATTGGGAACAATTTTTGTTCTCTGACTAACTTAAAAGAAAGGATGGACTTGACCTAAGGTGTAGAACTCAACTTCCAAAACATTAGCTTAAGTATAATTACTGAAGGATGTTGGGGACGCATTGGAAACTGTATGGCTGGAATGGCAATGGGATTCGGAACGAGGACTGGTATAGAATGAGCAAGGAATTTGAATGGCTCTTCTGAGCTTGGAACTTTGTACGTAGCCAATGTTGTCGTTGCTCGGTGTAATTAGCACTGCATTTTGTAGATCGCCAAACATAAAGTATCGGGACAAATCGTTTCGCGGGCGGCCGCAACAACTGCACCCCAACTAATATAAAATTCCCACCTATACAACAACAACAATATAAAATTACAGAACAAAAAAATCAATACTTTGTATACCATCCCTTTGCACTCAACACAGCAGCTACTCTTCCAGGCATAGACTCCCACAAGCTCTCCAAAAACTCTCCTTCAATATCCTGTGTCCAAACCACATTGAGAGCTTCTGCTAAACATCTTCTAACAGTATCTGGACCTCTTTTAGTTTTGTGAATGTCAGGAAAGTGTCAATGTAGCTTTTGCTTCATCCTCTTCCAACAATGCTCAATGGGTTTAAGATCAGGTAAATTAGGTGGCCATTCTATTTCCTGTATGTTGTTTTCCTCAAACCAATCTATGGTATCTTTTGTAGTATGTATCTTTGAACCATCCTGCTAAAAAATGGGATCCCCCATTGTATCCTCCACTTCCTGCAAAGTACCAAGCAAATCATCTGTTGCAAACCTGTGATGATTTGTAATAGATTTCATATGTCATAGTTTGGATTAATGACCCATTTGAGTTGTATGATATTATGAATATTGTTTGTACATATGACCTGTTTAGGGGTCATGTGGGTTCTGCACATGATTTAAACTGTGACTTTAAGTTATGATTGGTATGCTATATTGGGATAGTTAGTTGAATAAGAGTAAGTCTTGTAAGACTTACTTGGATTTCAAACACATGACTGGTTTAGGAGTCATAGGGGATATGTACATGACCCAAGTAGAGGTTATAAGGACAAAGGATCCTGTAGACATATGGGGCACAGCTGCAATGTATATGACAAGTAGATTTGTAAGTAGTTTGTAGGAAGGTCTATAAAAGGCAAGTGGTTTGACCATTGAGATTGATCTTCATGCAATCAACTAAGTTCTTTCTTACCTTCATCCTTTGGCCTTTGGCAGGCGTTAATACTCATGATAGTTCACGATGCTAGACAGATATCTGAGTTCACTAAGTATCCTAACACTGGAGATTGTTGTGTGGTCTTGGATTGGGTAGTCCTGTTCGTACCTCTTGTCACCTACATAGAATCTCATGATACTGGTACTTTGAGCTTTTCAATAAAATTGCTTACAGGCCCCTCTCAGTAAAATATTGTCTGCTTCATATTTATCATCTACTTACAGGTTTCGTATTTTATTCAGGGGGAGTCTAGTTGTATTGGAGGAGATCATGCATGTTGTTCTTTAGCTCAGCGCAAGTTCCTTGTTTGGTTTTAACAGAGTCCTTAGTTTCTCACGATACAAAATACCTATAGGTTTGCTTGATGACGATCCTGTATCTTCATTACATCATACGATCACATCAATCCTCAGGTGGCAAGTGCTGTTCCTGCCCTGCCCATCCTTATTACTTTACCTTTCTATAGTCAGAATCTTACATTGTGGTTTATCGCCATTCCTTTGATCTTGATTCAAGTGGTATTTACAGTAGTTCAGCTAGGTGTCATCTTTTTGCTTTGGTGGGAATGACTTTGACCTTGAACTTTCTTGCACCTTGGTGTGAATCTTTGGATTTACTAGGAGTGATATGGAGTAATTAGATGCTAGGCCATACTTGGTCACATGTAGAATTGGATGTGGTTACAGATGGTAGTTGGCAGTTACACCTACTGCAAGTGGTGCCTACCTTTTGTTTGTCTCATTTCCTATCCATGTACCTCCTATATCAGGGATGCCAGTTTGGAAGCCTTTTACTCCATTGTATAATTTACCCTTTATTGACTGGTGGTTGTGACTGCCCTCAGGTGGCTGTCCTTGATATGGCTTGTAGCTATGACAGTTAGGCCCTCCTTACCTTGAGGTGTCAGGGGTTGGGACTGTGGTAGTGTAGCTAGATCATGGTTACCTACTTTGGTTAGTTATATACTGTCCTGTAGCTCACAGGTGGCTTGCTACCTGTGGGGCTCTGGGGGCTGGGTGGGGGCTGTGGTATTTGATTTGGTGGTCTGACGGAAACTGAGTTGATGGATTGGGGCTCCAGCAAGGACTGGTCAGGAGAGTATGAGGTTGGGCGACCTCTAATTGAGTATTTCCAGTTACTGGCTATCTGCAGAGTTCTGTAAAGCCACAGTGCTGATGGCCACCTATGTTGGACAGAAGTGTTTCTTAGCTGCTCAATGTATATTTCGCCTATGGTAACAACTCCACAACTCTAACCCTCATGATGTATTAACTACTCCAATGCTCCTACACTTGATAGTCCTATGCATTAAACATCACATGCAGTAACACTTGTGATAATACCTGCAACCAATTCAAGTGAAGACCTTTCACTTATCATATGGAAATTCCGAATGTTCTCAGCCAGAATATACACTTGATTAGATTCTCTTACTCTTAGTCATAGTAGTACAATAGGCAGTACCGAAATCAAATGTGATGGAGAACACGGCATATGCTAGAAGTATGTGGAAGTTGACCATTATGATCTAGGAAAGGATAAAAGGCAACTTGTTTTCTCTTTATTAGTTGTTCTTATTCATCATCCCAATCTGTCTCTCTTTCTATTGTTACTTGTATTGGGGTCAATTCAGTCTTTTCCATTTTTTTATTTCCCTGTTTTCTTTGTGAGAATATTTCTCCTGTTAGGATACCAAAATTTGATCTTTACATGTTTGCCCAGCCTCTCAATTGAAGTTAACAGTATCCAAATTGCTGCTGTAAACATTGTTGTTGAAAAACCAGTTCAGATAGTGGGATGTGACTGTGGACTTCAAATTGGCCAGGTTTTCGGGTTGGATGTTGTAGTATTTGTTTGGTTTTTTTGGCTGGGCTATGGGTATGGTAGGAGAAGAAAGGTACCACAGGTGGGAAATAGGCCCCACAGACCTTCATGGTCAGTTGTCAATCCTGGGTTTTCGTCATCTGGGTGTGACAAGCTGGTGTTAGAATATTCGGACTGAAGCAAGATCATTGACAGACCTTAGCTGTGAGGGCTTCTACTGTGGAGAAGGGATGGCGAGCCAAAATTCAGACCAGAGTAGGGTTTTTATGTTGCTTTGTATGGGAAACCTGTGGGACTGGTACTCAGCTTAACTTCAGCTATACAGA